GAAAGTAAGAGAGTTAGGGACCGTAGCGAGGTCTCCCGTAAGCCTTAGTTATCTGACCCTCATGACATTGCTTTTATCGAGCGCTACACCGGCTCAGTCGTCTCCCGGGATATCATAGGCCATGCAAGCCGTTAGGGACTGAGGCAGGCTGCAAAAATCAGTAATCAGAAATTGTTTCACACCTTCTGACAGTTAGGGGCGTAGCAGGACAACGATAACTGCCGGATAAAGACACGTAGGTTAACACTCGTGACTTACTCGTAAGTGACTCGAATACCGTAAGAGGAAACGCTGACGGCCAAAGTGGGAACAGTGGCCAAAGCAAAGCCGATTCCTTGGAAAAGTTCAGGGAGTCAAATTTCCATATCGTAGACAAGGTATTCTGATAGACCTTCCACCGCCTTAAAAATTGAATGACGGGTAATTTAAAAATATCATCAGTTTTCGGAAGACGAAGCAACTGGCTCAGACAATCTTCACTGTTAAATCAGATCCTGAATCCTGACCATGTAATGAAGCTTGTATGTCCCATGCTCAGAGGATGATTCGCTGTTTGTAGTTACATGAACAGATGGTACCTGTAGTTCTAATTTCGCATACAACTGAGAATTCTTCATCTGCTTTCTTTGAGCATGCAAAGATCGCATGGTCATTTCGCAAACAATGACCAGCAAAAGAACAAGACGGGTATTTGAAGCAATGGTCATACCAGAAATGAATAATTCAGGCCCGGACTGAAGAGATCTGCGAGCTTCGTGATGAACAACTTCGCGGCATGCTTGTAGACGGTGATTTCGGCCGTGCCATTGCGCGTCAGGTCGGTCAGCTCTTCCTTGACCGTGGCGATGAACTTGATCTGATTGTAGCCATAGTCGTTGATCAGACCGTTGCTTCTCAAAGCCTTGTTCGAGAAATGGAAGTATACGTCGCCTACGTCGTTCAGCTACAAGTCGTATGAAAGCGTGAACTACGAGAGACGAGAGAAATGCGGCCACCCGAGCTTACCGCCTTATTCTGTTCGATGGATTTGATGTCAGTCGATCCAAAGTACGGCCAAGGGTACTTGGCGATGATCGCAGCCGTTCCTCTCACTCCTTTGCCATACGTGTACCTGAAAAGATGCGGCTCGGTTCAAGTGACGACTGGCAACCACCCGTCATATTCATACTTCGCAGACACCAGCACGGCAATGTCATCGTTGACAGTGGTGTACGGCGGAGCGACGACCTTCACCTCGAATTTGGGGAGTACTAAGAGAGACAACAATGCAGTAAAATTAGCATGATCTAAGGGAAGATTTAGGAATCTGGTCTACAAACGTTTGCCTGACTGATCTATGGTCATTGTCTTATGCTGAGTGCATTGCGACGGTGCCATTAACTTTCTACATGTTAAACAAATCTTGAACTCGAACACTCGGCAGAGAGCGCATAGACACATGCAACCGTGTCAGTTCCATCTACACTTGAATTATTCTCCACAAATATGCGTACCAGCTGTGGCAACGAGGCCAGCTGCCATCGACAATATCGTGAAGCTTGGATCTTTATGCTCTACCAGCGTAACGCTTATATTGAACCAATACTTTCAGCAGTCTAGGTGATGCGAACGGCGTTGTACTTTAAATGGTAGCTTCTTCATAACTCTCGCTGGAGGATTTGAAGATCCCATGACAAAACGCCATGACACTGAATCTGATAACCTTCATGCCTATTGCCTATGTTCATGTGGATGACCAGGGATTTGTGAAAGTGCAGGAAATTTGCGATTTAAGTAAAGTCTGCGACAATACGTGCTTTAGTGGGAATAACCTAGAGAAAAAAGTTTTCATTTACACAGCATGACGGTCTTGCAGAACCAAACCAGATTTCGACTGGACTTTCCAGCCTTCTTCGGTCAAATTTGGTATTGTTATTAAAACCTAAGATTTACGCATTCTTAAGTTTCGTCCTGTGGAGAGTTTAGACAGCTTTTCTTGACGTTTCCGGTGTAACTACTCCAATGACTTAATAATGATGGATAAAGACTATGACTTCATCACTAATCCGATATAAGCCGCTTAGTAGTAAAGGTAGTTACAGCTGTTCAAATTAAGAAATAACGTCGACCAACGCACATCTTCTCTAAGTCTTCTCCCACGTTGTCTTTATGCTATCTGAACGTTCGTCATTTTTATACAGTTCAGCTAAACTGAATATCTGTACTGCTAGTCTGTCAGCATACGTATTGGGCACGTACATCCCGGTGCAGCGTTTCTAACCAAGACTAAACAGTACTTCAGCTACGTCGTTCCCTGTCACAAAATTAGGAAGTAGCCTTGCTTTTCACCCTACGGTTCCGTTACCATCGAATTTGCAAACGTTGCAGAAGAGCTTGTTTATTTTTGTGCTTCTCGCCCTTTTTATCCTTTTCTGCAATTTTGCGTCTCTTCGCAAAGGATATTTCAGGCTGGACTGAACTAGTGAAAGCTACTGGAACGTTTGGGTAACATGTCTCGGAAGGAACTTGCAACTGCTCGGATCAGTCGTGCCATAAACTTTGCTTTTCTTCTTTGTCACTCGATATTACTGAATTCAGAGCACCCTCTTGAAGAGCTCTGGGAGACTGGAACTTCATGCCGTATCCTCACCTGTTTTAAATTCTTCAACATACATTTTAATAAAGATATGCAGATGAATAGACGTTTACATATTCTTCATTACGTTTGCTTCGACACCCTGACGAAACAAGGACTTCATACCTGACTTATCTTGGTATCGATGATCAGCTAGTCATTTCTGTTGTGTAACACTTTATTATACCATTTTAATATTTCTGACGCTATACGCATACATTACTACCTGCATTAACACCAAGATTAAGTTTGTCGTCTTACATGCCATAGCAATGGAGATCTTTTTCTTTTCCATAATCCCTACGGGCTACTTCTTTGTTATTGATGATGTTTCATGTAATTCTTCATCAGCTACATACAGGGACAGTACTGAACGGAATGAATAGTGAGAAACTGCTCGAAACGTGCAGGGCTTTTGAATAATCTGTTAACTATTTCACTGATTCATTCATTCATATTTTGCCTGATTCAGAATAAATTTTTCGCAAATGATCAGCTATATGCTTAGTTATTACACATGGAGTATTTTTCTGTGACAATACAGTATAGTATGAACACCGTATTTGTGATGTACATGCTGATGTGCCTTTGGATTTTATTTATTGAGGACCATGTGTTGAGGTTCGCAAAGTGACCAAATAAGTTGTTTTTCTTAAATTAATTCATTTCTACCTTCATTGGCTTTCTAGTGGTATCGATCTTGTGCGTCCCAGGCAAGACAATGCCAGTTTTCACATATTCGAGTCAGGCAACCCATTTCCTGTCCTCTGACAACCTAAGTCATCGTCCAGTACAAAGCTTACGTTGATAGGCGACAGTTATTTTTCATACCAAATATCGCATGACTCCTTCAAGGCCACATTTCACTGTGTATTAGGCATTGTTCTGTTGCTCTTAGTGCCTAGCAAGGGTGCGGGGTGGTTTACACAGGCTACAGTTTCATAGTATTTTACCTCCTATCCTCTGCTACGACTACTTCGCACTCATAACGATCTACAGTACCAAAGTTGGCAATCATTATACGCTACCCCATAGCTTGATCAGACGTTCGCAGGCTGAAGTATATGAAACAACGCATGACTCCTACAAAACCAAATTTCAAAATTGTTTTATAAAACGGACATGCGAAAATGTCAATTCTAAGATTATACTGTAAGATTAAGGAATTCTTCCGGTGCAACGGTTTTTCGCATGAGGGAAGCTCAGGGCAAACTGTGCTGTTCTTCGTTAGACACAGCAATATTGCATCAGCAGAACCACTTAGTTCGAATTATTCCTTAAACCCATTGGTACTGAACTGTTATGAAATTCAGTGAACCTAAGAGCTAACTGCAAATAAAACTCTAAAAAGGTTTCCCAAGCATCCTGAGACCCGGGTTATGCTACAGAATGAAGCACAAACACAACATTAAAAAAATCTTTAACCATAATTTTAAGGAGTACCATATTTTTCTACAGTAAATATCTGTGTTTCCTTTTGATTGTCGATTTTCACCGTAATTAGCCAGTCACCAAGAAGCGGCTCTGAACTCAGCTGCAAATTCAGACTGTCGTTCAGTCCAATGACACCTACAACATGTAGAAGCTTTGAACAGTATATCGCGCATATTTATTTTTTTGCTTTCTACCTTCGTACGTCTTCATGCCAAGGAACTGTTTTAAGACGTTCTGATTTGGGTCCTAAAATGAAATGGAATTTAGACGGGTTGAAGCAAATTAATCAAATCAAAATATGAATGACATGCTGATTACTGTTGAAAGTTTTATCTGCATAGCAATAAACCTCATTCGACGGGTTTGCCTCTCGTTTTTGAGTGCCACCTCTATCCATGCCACTAAAGGCTTGGACAGTCAGCTGGCATCAGCGTAACGGTTCGATGGCTTTAGCATGCAAGGCAAGAAAGAAACTCTATAGTTCGAATATCACCGTTCGTTTTCTAGACCGTGATAATTTATTTGTGAGTTTCTGGATTTTGATCCTCAGTTTGAAACGCAAACTATGTTGTATGAGAATCAGATATTCTATTTCGTTCGTTGGATCCTCAACGGCAAATTATTTCAGACTCTGGCGCATGAACTAAGTACCACATATACTTTCAACGACACTCTACAGAAACAAGCCATCATTAATTTCATGAAAAGGAGGATCCCTAAATGGCCCATTTATTATACGAAAGTGTGTAAAGGTTAGAAACTTTTCTTCCACTCATTTATAGGCTCGTTGCTTCTCAGGAATGCAATCACAATAGCAAACCAACAGATTTTACAACTTTAAACCGGTACAAACGAAAAGTTTCCATGAATTTGGTAAAAGTAAGTTCCACATTAACAATGAATCGACCAATGACTCTAAACCGCGCTTACGTTTAAAGACAGTATACATAAAAATGCAATAAATTTTTTTATAACCTCCTTTCTTGTTACACAGCAACAATGACGATTGACAAGAGGTAGAGAAAATCAGATCATATATTATTAAGAGAGCAAATTTAGGACCAGAGACTGTCTGTTGAAGAGAATGTCTAGGGTGACTTTTATGACACAATAAATGGGATTAAATGAATTTCAGCATTTTTCAAAATTTATTACATTTTATGAAGTGTACATAACATGTGCATTACAACGCTGATTTTGTGTTACTTTCAGACTGAATGTTCCTACAAATGCAGCGTATTTTGACTTATCTTCGCTTTTATCAAACACCACTAAATATTCTTCAATGCAAGCTTCAACCTAGGCTTCTATATTGGTATATAGAATTCAAGACGGTGCTGCACTTATTTCATAAAGCACACTTTCTCAAATTAGATGGCTGAATCATATCAAGAT